GTGAAGCACTTCACTGATCAGATGTTTCTTGAACACCTACTATTTCATGCCAGGGACATTTGAGACTCTAGGAAACATCAGTGAACACGGCATTGAAGTCCCTGCTTTCCTGGAAGAGAACAAGGGAGGGGGCTGGGGAGAAGGGAGGGAGAGAAAGGAGAAAATAGCACTTACAAATACGTGCCATGCAGAGTCACAACAGAGTAATGTGATAGAGGAAACCCAGGTGTCTTCTTCAGCTTGGGACATCAGAGAAGCCTTCTCCAAAGAGATAACATTTAAACTGACATTTTAAAATGACAAGAAGGAGGAGGACAAGCAAAGATCAGGAGGAAGAACATTCCGGGCAGGTTAGCATAAAGGCCCAATGATGAGAAAGAGCTTGGCATGTTCCAGAAAGAGAGAAAAGATCAGTGTGACCCCAGCATGGTGGGTGAGAGGGAGAGTGGTCAGAGAGGTTGGCTGTGTAGGCCACTGTAAGAAGCGTGCATGGGAGGGGTGTGGCCCTTGTCGAAGCACAGATTCTAGTTAGGAGGCTGCTGCAGGGGTCAGGGCAGGGGGCCATAGTGGTTTGGGCTAAGATGTAGGAGAAAAAGAGAGAAGGGGCTAGATTTGGAATATAGTTTAGACCCAGTCAACAGAACTTGCCAGTGGTGGTTTGGATTATGAGGAATGAAGGAAAAAGAATAATGAAGAATGATTCCAAAGCTTTGGCTTGAGCCACTAGGTAGATGAGATGACTGAGGTGAGGAAGAATGAAGGCAGAGCTATTAGCTCTTCATTGACAGTCACGACTGACTAACCGTGAACCTAAAGCTAGGGGGGTAGTAAAGGCCCATGTATAAATGCCCTCACTACCACCCTAACTTTACATCACTGGGGAATATTCGTAGACTTTTGGAAATTCTTGATTATTCACTTAATGACTGTTTCAGTCATTTCCAGGATCTCTCCTTCCTTTTGGTGTTCAATTTATGATAGAAAAAATCACATTCAAGTTACTAGCTCATACTCTGTTACACCCCTTGGGAGTGCTCTGTAAATGTTTTTTTTAATTTTTTATTGAGATATAATTGACATATAACATTATGTTAGTTTCAGGTGTACAATGTAATTCAATGTTTGTATATATTGCGAAACCATCACCACAAGAAGTCTGGTTAAATCCATCACCACACAGTTACAAATATTTTCTCTTAGCAACTTTCAAATATGCAAGATATTATTATTAACTATAGTCACCATAGTGTACATCCCCACGACTTATTTATTTTATAACTGGAAGTTTGTACCTTTTGACCCCCTTCACCCATCTCACCACCACTCTCCCCCCGTGCTCTGTACATGTTAGTTCCTGCCCAGGCTTTCCTCCTCAGCACATCACCTGGGGGCCCTGGGCCCAGGCATGGATGTAAGATGTGGATCTGAGATCTGCCCATCGAACCGGAAGTTGACAGCTGATGTGTACTTCTAACAACATACCTTGTATATGTATATGGAAAACAATATGACTAATTTTCTCTTTATAATTTTTCTCTTTATAATAATAATTTTTCTCTTTATAAATTTTCTCTTGATAGTAGAAAATTTCTGTGATCTCTTTACTAACAATTTAAACTGATTTAATCTGCTTATTTATTATAATGCTGACATTTTCTACTTTTGCCTTAAAAATATGTGGGGGCTTAAGTTTTCTTCTCTGTACAATGGGAATAACAATAGAGTTGTTCCTCATGGGTATTTTGTGAGGAAATAATGTATATAAAGTGCTTAATACAGTAGATGCTATGCAACATTCAGTAAACTTGAGGTGTTATTATTAATAAAATAATAATCTGGGAGAATGTGGGGGAGGGCTGCCAGAACTGGTACACTGGTTTTAGTGTTCAGATTCACTAGACCAAGAAAATAGAGCCATACATTGGTTTACTGAATCCCTGCATGACTTTGGACAAAACCTATAATGTCTTTGGATCTCAATTTTCTCAGGTAAAGGAGAGAATTAGGGTAGATAACTTCAGTTTTAAAACTTCTGCAATTCTCATAAATGATCTTTATTTTTCTCTCCAATTCTCCTTCTATCAAGCTTATCAAAAAAGTTTTCTCTTTAGGTCAACTAAGTTAGTGTAAGTGATATTTATTGCCAGATGTGACCTTTTGTTAGCTCATTATGGAATCCCAATGTAATATCACTTTCTATAAATATAGATTTAGAGTAAGGAAATGTTCTCTCTCAAGAGAAGATTAACTGTTGAGGCTCTTTCTCTTTGTAGGCTCTTGGTCCGGGGGCTCTTACTCACTCTTGGCATTCTTCCTCAGTCTGACTTTGGTTACCTTCTCCTTTCGTGATTGCTGATGTTGATAACCACCTACGGGTTCTGAGTTCCCCCCTCAACCTTCTCTAGTGGTTGGCATTGCATTTGAGTTGTGCTTTCTTGCTTCCTCTACCTTTTGAAATTTAAAAATAGAAAATAAAAAACAAACCCACAGCCTTTCACATCAGCTGAACTCTGTTATTCACCTAACAGATTTTCCGGTGAATTCCAGTATAGCATACGCAGTCAGAAATCTGCCAGCGTTCAGAATAAGCCCTGTAAGAAATGGACAAAGAGAGACTTTTATTTTGACTGTCAAACACAGAACCAGAAATGGGTGGCAGCAGCCCATAAGAGGAGGCTTTGAAAAGTGAATCAAAGAGACAGACCAGTCCCCACTCTGCTTCTTGACTTTTCTCCTTGCCCGTCCAACTTCCCTGAGCCATCATGAGGAATCATTGTGTTGATAAAAGGCCTCTTAGGAGTCCAGCTCTTGCACTGTGAGTGCCAAAGACAGGTCTCAGGAAGCACAGAAACACTTCATGGGTCTGAGGAATATTATTGCAGAGGCCCCACCCACACTGTAGCAAGCACACTAAAATATGGCAACCTCCACATCAAATATAATTTTACTGCTGACAAAATTTTTAGAAACTATTCTTACAATTTTGCTTTGGAAATCGGTTGGCTATAAGTAAGTGATTTAACTTATAATTGGCTATTAATTTCTGAGCAATTATCTTAGCATACTTGGGAATTATTAAGTTTGAAAACAACCTAAATTTAGCCTATATATTACTTCCAAATGAAATATTTTTGATTAACAAACCATAAGTAGGGAAGTTAACCTAAGGTTATGTTTTGTAGACCTTTAGCATTTTATTAATTTCAATTTTGTAGTTGTCTTGTTTTGAAGCCAATAAATGGTTTTCAAGGTCTCAGACATTTTTATAGGCCCTTAAAATGCTGGAAGGCCCCAGGCACTGTATCTTAATGGCCAATGGTTAAAAATACTCTGCCTGGGAAGTCCTAAGCTCTGAGGTCTTTGCTCTTGCCTTCTTCAAGGAATGAGAGCTGGTTTGGGGGACATTTCTCTAAGAAAATACAACAAGCTGACATACAAATAGCACTAATCAGCTAAAAGAAGGTGAAAGTCCTACAAACAGCAGCGTAATTAGGGGCAGAATCCCTGGGTTCCAGCAATTAGTTCACTGAGTGACCTTGAACAAGCCCTCGGAGGCCCTTTCCCTGCCCCAACTAATGCCTTTCCAGACAGACGCCCCACCTGGCCAGGGCAGAAGTGCAGGGCCATCACTTCTAGGAACTGAAGGATGCACAGAACCATCTGAACCTGAGACAAGGGCTTCCCTCACATATTAAAAGCAGAGCAATTTTCATATCTGTTTTATTTTGCCCAAATGAAAGAAGGAAGAGAATAAGGATGGGAAAGGGAGGGGGAAGGAAGGAGGAAGGACTGCACCATCAACAGTTGTATCTAAAAAGCTACTGATGTTTAATGTTTGTGCAAAATGGCAAGTCTCCCTTCTCCAGAAAGAAAGGCTTTCAGATAAGATCCTCTCTCTTACTATCCCATTCAAAAGTCGTCTGGCATCTGTTTTCCCTCAGTGAGGGGCAAGTGCGGTGTAAAGACAAGAACATAGATTTCACAATCAAATGAGCTACGTGTAAAGCCAGCCCTACCACTCATTCACTCAGCAGTTCTCAAAGTGTGGGCCAGGGACCCCTAGGGTTCTCTGAGAGCCTGTCAGGGTACCCATGAGGTCAAAACGATCTTCATAATAATACTAAGATGTCATTTGCCTTTTTCACCCTCTTTCTTTCGGTAAGTGAATTTTTCCAGGGGCTACATACATGATGTCACGACAAACTGGGTGCATACACAGATATCAAAATCCAACTGTTGTCTATTAAGCCAAACATTAAAGATATTAAAGAAAATGTAAAGCAATGCCACTCTGATCTCTAACTTTGTTTTTTTGTATGGAAAATATAATCACTTTATGTTAACATGTAATGGGGTTGTTATTTTATAATAAATACATATTTCTTACATTTCTTAGTCTTAATATCCAATATGGAAAATATTGATAAGTATAACTTACATTTAAAAAGTTCATTGGGGGTCCTAAATACTATCTATAAAATATAAAAGTATTTTAAGACCGAAAAGTTTGAGAACCCCTGTATGACCTCACAGTAATTACCATTTATTGAATTTTCCTTGTGCCAGGAGCTGTGCAAAACACACTACATTCTTCATCTCTTTTAGTCTTGGCAACAAAACTACAAAGTAGAGGCTTTAAAAAAAGACCTTGCTAGCCTGAGGTCTCACAGCTGGAAGAGAAAGAGATTACCAGGTCCTTCTGACCTCAAAGCCACACTCTTGATTACTGGACAGTACTCCCTCACAAATTAATTCTCTGTAACTTTGAAAAGGCTGTTTTACTGTTCCTAGTCTGTTTTCTTCTCAGAAATGGGCAGAATCCTACCTACCCTGCAGGATTCTTTTAAGAGCAGAAGACTTAAAATGCATCCAAATGCTCAGCACAGGGGCTAACACCAGATAGACTCTGAGAAGCTGTTAGCCTCCTTCCTTCCATTCCTTCCTGTCCCTGGCATCATGTTAGACCAAGGAGACTCAACAGCTTCCCTTTTTTCCTCTAGATGGTCTTCAAGCAGACAGAGAAGCTGATGGAACAGAAGGAGTTGATGAAGACATGATTGTGACCCAAAGTCAGACCAACTTCATCTGCCCCATTACACAGGTACTGTTTCCTCCTTCTTCCCCTGAAAGAAAAAGCAATTCACGTACAGAGGCAAAAGATTCCTGTTTGCTTTCTGACTTGATTTCACGTCCAGAGTTAAGGAGGGAGGAAAGAAAAGTGATGAGAGTTGAAGAGTGTACATGGGAGGTTCTTGGGCTAGAAAGACTTTTCAGTCAATCATGCCCTTAAGAATTTAGGAGTAAATTCCTAGCCCACATGCCAAGTGACATTGGTGCCACTGGTCTCCTTGCATTTTCTTCTATGATCATCTGCCCTAATAAGTATCTAAAGCCGTGAGATTGGAAAGTTAAATGTGGAAAGCTCCAGGACTAGGAAAAAACAGCACCAGATAATTGGTGACTTGGAGAAGTTACTGGAAGTTGATCATAATCATTCTTGAAAGCCTAATGTCTCCTTGATTGCAGGTGGAAATGAAGAAGCCAGTGAAAAATAAAGTGTGTGGCCACACCTATGAAGAGGAAGCCATTGTTCGCATGATTGAGTCCAAGCACAGGCGGAAGAAAAAGGCCTGGTGAGTGGACGCAGGAAGGGAAGTGGAGCTTCCTAGTGGTCGTCAATCAGGGATGTGTGTTCATGCTGGAGGAAAAGATACTTAAATGTCTCCCCTAAAGTCCATTCACCTCCCGAGTAGTATAAACATGGAAGCTGGCTTTCCGGAAAAACAATACGTGAGGGAAAAATTAGTAATCTCTTCAGGAAGAAGCCAAAGGAACTTTGACCACACCTTCAAAACGGGAGAAAAAGGAATTGGATTGAATTTTAATCATTAGATACAAGAATTTTTATGAATTTGTGCTATAGCCGAAAAAAATGAAGAACTATCATACTAAGAGATTGCTTTTTCCCTTTCTGTATACACACTTACCCAAATAAGAAAAAATGGTAAATTTTTCTTTGCTTCCTGCAATGCAGACAATTTGTTTAAGAAATATTATTAAGTCAACATTCTAAGATAAGAATTCACGTCCAATGGTCTTGATGATCGAGATTTGTCAGGGAAAACTTTCATATCTTTAATTATTTAAATAACTTCCCAAGAGGTTTAAGTAAATTCGTGAATAATTGATCAAGGAGAAATTATTATATTTTTACATTGGAATGTTTGGAGAATCTTTCATATATACATACACCGCGCCCCCCCCCCCGCCCCCACCAGGACCATGGAGGACCATGGCTCTGTTCCTGTAATAACACAGAATCCTGAATTGGCTAGACTGACCTTGACTCGGTTTGGCATTTCTTGTGCTCTTATCACAGATTTGTTGGAGGAATGGAATTGCAGGTGTGACCCGTTCTCAATGGACTTCTGATAACAGTCCCTTTGATGTGTGGTTTGCTTCTCCATTGCCCAGAAATTTGCTGGTCCAGACGTAGACCTGGAATTCCCCACCGCTCCTCGTCTGGGTGTGGACGTAGAGATAGGATATTCAAGACTCTAGATATCTTGAAAGTCCTTCAGTCAAGTAATTTACCTATTTATTTTAGAAGAACAGCTTAATGGTTGCAAAATTGAGATTGTTTGAGTACATTTTTATCTGTTTTGAATTTCCAGTTTACAGTTGAGATGTCATATTTCCCTGGTGAACCTTCCATTTTCCCCAGTAAATATAATTTTCTTTGTTTCTGGACTTCTAAGCCTTCCCTCTCTAATAACCTTTTTCTATGTTCATTCTCTGAAACACAAAATTTTAATTTGTTAACATAATTGCTATGAAGAGATATTCCCAGATACTTTCCCATTTCACAGCTCTTCTTTCTTAAAGTTTGTGATATTCTCCTAGAGTCAGATTTGAAAAGGGCAGGCACTGATACAAAGCACATTTCTCACAAGTCCCAAGATGCATGTGAGCAACTTCCAGAACAGGCTCATATTTAAATGAATCTTCTTAATTACATACTTTGACTTTCTAATGTCCTTTGCCTTTTTCGAATTATACGTGATATTTGGAAGCACTTGCATAACATTTGTTATTTCAGAAAAGATTTTTTTTCTGTCATACTTCTATAACTTGCGTGCAGATTCTGCAAACTGTGTAGGTTCTCATAGTTTAATAATAACAATTAAGTCCAAGGGGAGGTTTACAGAGAACGTAGTATTTTTACTGGGCCTTGAAAAATGAGAAGGATTTCAGAGAATGGTGAAGAAGAGTCTTTCTAGCCAAGAGGCTTACCCCATTCAGAGCCTGTTCAACTTGGTGGATAATAGATACAGTTCAGTTATGGTATGGTAGAGGGAGAATAGAAGGATGCTACTATGGACCATAACAATAGGAGAGTGGTGTAGAGATTCATTATAGAGGGCATTAAAGGTCATGATTTCATTAGTTTCCTCATCTAGAAATTGATGCTAATAGTTGTAATTGCCTCCTTGGTATGTTTGAAATTTGGATAAGATATATATATCAAGTACTTAAAGTGCCTGGCTCCTGGTAAGACTCAGTACACATTATCCCATTATCCTCATCATCATTCTTGCCACCATTACTCCATAGGCCTGAGAGAACATTGCAGAGTTTTGAGGGAGTGAGGTGAGCCAATTTGGAGTTTAGGACGTTACTCCAATAGCAGTTCAAGGAATGGATTAAAAGGCATGAGGTGAAAATGACAGGCTGCTTTTGCAGTAGATTAAGTTGTAGATTATGAGAGCTTGGATTAAGGCAAGAGTTATAGGCAGAAAGGAATGAGAATGAGAGATGCAACTGATAGAATTTGGTAACTGAAAGTTGAAGGCAGGCAGGTGTGAAGGATGGCTGACATTTCTAAACTAGGTGCCTAGAAGCATAGGAGTGTCATTGGCCAACAGAGAGGGCAGACAAGAGGAACACATTTAGGAACGATTATGAGAGGTGTAGTTTGGGTCAGGCTAAGTTTGAGGTCCCAGCAATACAGACATTTGGAAGTCCCCAGGAGGCATAGAAAATGTGTTTGAACTCTGGAGAGAGCTCTGAGCTCGAGATGGTGATTGTGAGATTATCAGTGCAGAGGAGTCAAACCCGCTCATCTGCCGGCACAGGTGCAGCTCTGGACTGGATGCAACCGCCAACCAACAGCCAGCAAGAAAGGACCTGGGCCTGGCTCCCAGCTCCACGAGGCCAGGGTCCAGCTCTGCTCCGCTCACCGTGCTACCCTCGGCACCTGACACAGGGCCTGATGTAGACCCGCAAAATGCATTTTGCTCATTAATGAAAGGGCAGTCAGTGGAAGAAGACCCCAGTGAAGCAGTCTAAGACATAGCAGGAGAGAGAGGGGGAGAGATAAGAGAGTTGAGTGTCATGGGAGCCAGAGGGGGGAGTAGGCAGAGTCTTGAAGACAAGGCGCATTTGGCAACAGATTAGAATTCAGGGCCTCTTCAAAAGCTACTCTAGAGGTTCCTGATGAAGCGTGAAGTGGTGTCATTTCCCATGATGCATGCTAGGGTGATGAGCAGTTCTGGGTTCCCTTTGTTTAAAAATGTCTGTGACACATCCAGTATGAGAAATCTCAGTTCTTGCTCCTAGATGGTCCTAATTATGTTTGTTAGACTGGAGTTCCAGTTACACTGTGTTACTGGGCACTGACTAAATTTTTCTGTCCATGCTTCAGTTTCTGGGGAGACCTCTCTCCACTGGCTTGAGTCAGAATAAAATTAATGAGACTTTAGCCCTAACTAAATGCAGTAGTTAGAATAATTTCCTCAAATATATTTCTTAATAATCAGGCTACTTATTATCTCTTACTAATAAAGCTGCCTTACGGTTTTCATATTAGTACTTCCAGTTTTCCACAGTCATTTCATTCCTTATTCGTTTAAGAACAGGAACTATATTTAACAGTCACATTTAAGAGCTTGTAGAGTAAAATTAAGTTGAATAGAAATGTGTCGTTGAACAGCAGAACTCTCGCATTGCACTTGGAATCCCTGTTTGACCGTTTACCAACAAGTCAATTAACCTCTCAGAGCCTCAGTTTCCTCTTCTGTAAAATGGAAATACCAACAACATCTCACAGAATTTTGGGCTCACAGAAATGGCGGGGAATTCCAACCTAGATCTGGACCAGCAAATTTCTTGGCAGTGGAGAAGCAAACCACTTGGGAGAAAGCTCTTTTGGGTCTGTAGAGAGCGCTGCACAAATAGCATAGAGTTATAAAGGTCAAGACTGCTAGTGTGGTTATTACTTACCTCACTGCTTAGTGACACATTGTTTTAGACTCAGAGGATGTAGGATAGAGTTACTCTGTGTTTAGGTATGATGAGAATCCATCCCACTCATATTTCCAGAGGTATCTATAGACCTTTCTAGAGCTTTCTAAAGGTCTGGACCTTGGAATTCTTGGGACCCAGATCCAAGAGTTCGTAAGACTCAGAATCTTATACTTTTGAGCTGATGCTGAAGCCAATGTTCCCCGCAGCCTTCTGGAACCCCAAAGACCCAAGTTCTCTTTGTTCAATAGATACTTTAATGCTTACTTGCTGCCACAGTGGAATGTTCTGCCCTGTCAGTGACCCGAGTTCAGGACCCAGCCTCTCCTTCGATGCCTGTAGGTCTGACTCCTGCACAGCAGTGACTCGAGCTTAAGATTGGGTATTGCCACACCTATCTTGCTCACCAGGATGTCGTGGGGATTAAGGCACTAATGCTTATACAGAGTGTTGTTTCTTCAGAGGAGGAGTGCCCTGATTCAGTATCATGTCATTATGGCCTTGTCTTATCCCTTTTAGCTTAAAAACTTGTGTTTGTTTATTTGAGATGGGTTGAAAAACAAGGTTCTCCCCCAGCTCCTGCACCACCCTCTCCTTCAGGAAGCCTTCCCTGAACCCTCATTCATGCTGGGCTAATGCCCCTCACCATGCTCCCACGGTGCCCTTTGCATCGTGGTGTGCCCGTGTCCCACCAGCATTGTCAGTGGGGCTGGCTCTTCTCTACAAGCTTCTTGGGAGCAGAAACCATGCACAAGAGCAGGAACTGCGCCTTGTAGCCCCTGAGTGAATTCATTGACCCTTGTCACTCGTCTTCCTACTTATTTCTCACCACAACCCTATGCTCTACCTTTATCTTGTGTGTGTGTGTGTGTGTGTGTGTGTGTGAGGAAGATTAGCTAACATCCATTGTCAATCCTCCTCTTTTTGCTAAGGAAGATTGGCGCTGGGCTAACACCCGTGCCTATCTTCCTCTACTTGATATGGGATGCCACCACAGCATGGCTTGATAAACGGTGCATCAGTCCATGCCCAAGATCCGAACCTGCAAACCCCGGGTCGCCAAAGTGGAGCACACGCACTTAACCACTGCACCACCAGGCCAGACCCTACCTTTATCTTTATAGAGGAAGTAACTGAGGCCCACGCCTCAAGTCACTTGCCCAGACTTGATTGTCACAGCCAGGTGGCTTCAGCCCAGTCTTTTTCACTTTCGAGACTGGATTTGTGTCATCAGGCCATCTGGCTCCCCTTGGGAGGGTTTTTTAGTTGATGCCTCTGTCCCCAGAGCTGATCCCCAAGTGAGCTCAGACCTCTGTGTTTGACACGGGTCACCCTGGACTGCATCCCATGGGGACGAATGTGCGCCCCTGCTCTGCAGCTGAGTGCTGTGGTTAATCCCATCAGCCATTCTCAGAATGCTCTCATTTACTGACTAAAACCACTGATGTCATCAGGAAGTCCTCCCCACCTCGCTCTCCACTTCCCCATCCACAGCTTATTCACCGTCTGGCTGTCAGTGTTAAAGACTTTGTTCTATGAAGTGGGCAGAGCCCAAGGCCTGGCAGTCAGAGGGGACGTCCAGTGGGCTGAAAATAATAAGTGAGGATCATCTCAGACATGGCATTTCCGTGTCACGGAAGTTGAAGTGATGAAAAATGCCTTTTCTGGAGTCACGAAAGTGTCCATATGCTTTTCATAATCTCAGCTATTTACTTTCGTAGTTAAAGAAATAATTCACCTTGAGACATCACGGTGTGTTAAGACATTTCTCCAGCCCCCCAGTCCTTACCCTAACACAAAGTGATGCACACCTGGGCCAAACCACCCTGATCCTCTTTCATATGGTTCCCTTTCTAGAATCACATTTTAACACATGTACCTGACCATATAGGGCACATTTCAGTATTTTAAAAATAAAAAAAAAAAAAACAAGCGCATTATTCATTACGTTGATTGATGTCCCTCTAATATGAAGACACCTTGGTCCAGAAATCAAGGCCGAAGAAAAGTTTCTCTTCCGTGTTGAACTATTGGGCTTCCTACTACTGGACAAATCAGAGCTCTCATGATCAACTTTCTTCCCGTTCTGGTTTATATCTTTCGTCTTGTATTTGTTGTTTTTGATATTATCTTGCATTTTTTATTTTTGATCTTGTATTGGTTATTTTTGATCTTGTATTTGTTATTTTTGATCTTAATATACCTGTGCCTTTTGAAGAGTTGTCTCACATCGCTGGGCCAGAGCTCTGTGTGGGCAGGAGCCTATATTTGTATTTCACAGTTGGATGCTTAGAACCTAGCGCAGGGCCAGTCATATAGAAGGGTCAAATGAATGCATGAATGTGAGCATGGACATGTCGGATGTATGCAAGATATAGATAGATCCGCAACTTGAAAATGTTTTAGAAGATTGATGATCAGGGAACAAATGATTGTCATAGGAGGTAATGAAGGGAACGAATGATATCGAGCACTGTGTTGCCTATAGCCCTGTGAAATAGGGATTCTCCCGCCATTTTGAATCTGAGGGAGCAGAGGCTCAGAAAAGTAAAATGAGTTGCCTGTGGTCTCATAACAGCAAGTAGGTGGTGGAGATCTTCAGACCTAGGTCAGCTTGACTCCAGACGTTGGGCGCTCCACTCTACCAAGAAATCAGGTGACTTCATCCAACCATGCCTTCAGAGGAGACCACATCTAACCAGAGCCGTGGCTTGAAGTCCCTCCGGGGGGATGACTCACATCTGATGTCTTCAGCCACAGCTTTTCCTGAGTCCCCATCGGCCCACTCAGTCCCTCCACTGGGAGGACTGGTAGGCATTTCAGAGGGAACATATACAATTGGGACTTCTGATTCCATTCACAACCTGGTCTCCCAGTTGTTCCCCTGAGCGGCAGAGGGTACCACGAGTTGCCCGTCGACTCGGGCCAAGCACTGAATGAAGCTCAGGTCTTCTCTTTCCCCTCCACATCTGGTGCGTGAGCAAGTGCTAGAGGGTCTCCTTTGGGTTCTGTCCTGAAGCTGGTCACCGCTACCACCCTCCCCCAAGCTGCCCGCTCTCTCCTGACTGCTGCGGGATCCCTGCTTTTCCCTGCTTCCACTCTGCCCGTGTTCTCCATTAGCGGCCAGATCACGTCCCTCCCCGATCTCAAACCCTCTGGTGCTTTCTCTTCATATTTAGAATAAAATCCAAAGCTCCACTCACTCTCTGGCCTCCTCTGCCAGTGCCCTCCCTCCTGCCCTGGGCGTCTCAGCCACACCGAGCTTGCTCTTCCTCCAGGCCGCCGAGCCACTGCCTCCTCGGCTTCTCCACGTGCTGCTGCCTCAGTCTGGGCCACACGCAGCAATTGTTCTAGAGAAGACTTCCTCGGTGAGGCCGCCCTGACCCCGGCTAGAACAGCCTCGCCCTGCACTCCCTCTCCCTTGACGCTGTTTCCTTGCCGTCGAAGCATCTAATGCAAACTGAACTTACAGCATCTATTTGGTGACTTAGCCATTGTCTGTGTCCCCCGTTGGAAAGGGAGCGCCGTGAGGTGGGCACTGCTCGAGCGTGGGCTGTGCCCCCCGCCCTAGGCAGGGCCTGGCCCAGGTGGGCACTCAGTGAATAAATGAATGAGTGCACGTGAGTCCTGATTTGTAAAGCATGCTCCTTATTTAAATCCTTGTACGTGAGGAAAGTTTATGCTGAAGGTGTTCAAGTTAAGAGACCTAACTTGATTTTCTTTCTCCCTCACAGTTGCCCTAAAATCGGCTGTAGCCACACGGTGAGGATGTCTGATCTGATCCAGGATGAAGCACTCAGAAGGGCGATTGAGAGCCACAACAAGAAAAAGCACCGGCACTCCGAGTAAGGGAAGCCGCCTGCCCGCCAGCAGGGCGTCCGTCCGCAGCCTACCTCCTACCCCAGCCTCCGGAGAGCCCTGCTTCTCAGAGCAGGTCGACTGGCTGCATGGCATACTTTGATGGGGGTAAAACTCGAAGGTTTTATTGTAATTGAAAGCATTTTTCTATGTTAAAATAAAAATTCAAACATATTAAATTGTTTATTTTTAAGTGTTCTATAATTTTAAATAAAACTTTGATTATCTGCAGTGTGTCCTGTCTGTGCACCCCCCGAGGTGTCATTGTTCCAACAGTGCAGGCTGGGTGGGCCCAGGCTTCTGTATTTCTAATACTTGCGACTGTTTTTTATTATAGTTTTAATTAAACGATGTCTTTCAAGGGATATTTGAAATGAAAACACATAGAAACACCCTAATTGCAAGCATTTTCTACCAGTATAGTAAATATCAGCAGAAGGTTATAAAGCAAAGTCAGTTTACTTACCTATATTTACCTTGTGTAGTGACAGTTCCAAATATGTAATGCTTTTAGTTGTCATTCTGACTGGTACAGAATGCTCCAGTAACAGGCTTATCGGTGCGATGATAATTGATGCCCGTGATGGAGGCTTCACTGCAGCCTTCCGAGAACCTAAAGTGTCATTGGAAGCAGCCACATCCAGGCTGTCCTCTGCCTTGTTCAGTAGCTCTCTGCAAGTGGCTTCAAACCCTGGGCCTTGGGGTCTTCAGCCATGAAATAAGATGTTGAGTGAGATGTTCTCCGAAGTCCCGCAGCCCCCAAATCTGTGGACTTATGACCAGCAGGGTCTTGAAATTGAATATCATTGACTATATTCTAATTATGTGAAGGGTGCTAATCTGTTAATAGTCTCCACAGCAGCCTTTTATCAACTAGAATATTTAATTGAACCAAACGAAGCATACTCTGACTACACTAGGAAACCAAAAATAATAATGGCTAACAATAATTGAGCACTTACTGTGTGCCAGGTGCTAGTCTAAGTGCTTTACAGATATATATTAACTCCTGTAATCTCTACAGCCTGATGGGAGAGAGACAGTTACTATTCCCACTTTACAGATAAGTGTAACGAGTCACAGAGAAGTGAAGTAACCCGTGGAAAATCGTAGAGCTAGTGAGTGGCCGAGCTGGGGTCGGAACTTAGGTAGCCTGGCCCTAGAGGCTGAACTCTTCATCCTATGCCCTCCTCCTCCCTATTGATTTATTTAGAATCTAAAAATATAGTCAAAGTCCACATTTAGAAACTGAACCTTCTGTCAATAAAGAAGCATCTACGTGTGTGTGTGCAAGACAAGTTCATTAAAATGCAGGAAATAACTGAATTTGACACCCAATAGGCAGTGAAGGCCATGAAATAAGAACATATATTTGAGTGTAAAAGCATAGTCTAAAATGGCAGAATTAATTTTGAAAACATTTTCATGGAATTGAGAAAGTAGTGTGACATTCAGTTGTCTACAGACTAAGTAATTTTGAGTTTCTTAAGATGCTTTATCTGAATCAGACTTCCTGAGGAAATGATTAGGTTTAAGCCAGAACAAACATACTTTTCATGGAATGTGGTTCTTTTGTGAAATACTTTGTTTCCTAAACAGATAGGGACAAGCCTGAAATGCTTGCCCAAGGCTCGATTTGCCTTTTGCCCAACTCTTTCTGAAGAGAATTCTGGAATATTGGTGTGGATACCCATATCAGTTAGAAAAATGCAAAATAACACCATTCCACTGTGGAAAAGGTACCGTATTTGTATCCTGTGCACTTTTTTCCTTCGGTAGTCTTCAGAAACTGTTTCGTAAGTTTGTCCACCCAATTAAAGAATTTGAAGTTTTATATAAAACTTATTTTCATCTTTGAAGATTTACCATTTGGTTATCATTATCAATCTGGCATCTTTGTTAAATTCCTATTACAGGAGTTTTCCCAAAAAAAGTGAAAACTTTTCTTCAAATGAAATCGTGTTTTTGAGGAGCCCGATAATATAAGACAGCTGGAAGGGGAGCCATTCTAGTCGAAAAGGAGGTAGGAGCTCTGGCCCCTTCTTCCCAGGGCAGCCCCAGCGTCCTGTCTGAGAGCACCCAAGGCCCCATGGCTGGCATTTGAAAACCACACTAGACATTGTAGCAAAATTGTTTTTTTCAGATATGACTGATTTAAGACTTGGACAGTTGTGTGAACGTGGCATTTTTTTAAAATACTAGTTCCCTTAAGAAACTTCCAATTAAGTAAGTTTAAAACATTACCACAAACTCCAAACAGTAAGATAATTTCTCTCTCACCTTGTAGAGAACTTCACACATGGAGCGTCCAGCTTGAAGCGGCTCCTGCAGTGTGTGCTGCTCCCACCTGAACGCTCCTCAACTGAGGAGACACGGAGAGAGAAATAAATTACAGGACTGAGAGGAACCGAGGGCACCGTGAGCTGGTCGCTGGCTACACACCGGGCTCAGGTCTGAGTGCCTTAAATGTATCACCTGAATTAATCCTCCCTACAACCCTAGGAGGTGGTTGTTATTGCCCCATTTTACAGATGAGGAAACAGAGACTCAGAGTCATCAAGTCATTTGCCTGAGGTCACTTGCTTGTGTGACACAGAGCCCAGATTGGAACAGAACCGTGAGTGCAGAGGCAGCCTTCTGACCCACTAGGCTCTTTGCCCCAGGGCCATAGAGGGCACAGAAGTGATCAGCAGACCTGCACTGCTACCCCGTCTTGCTTATTTCTGTTACGGAAACCACCATCTCCCAGGCTGGCAGACTCCGGTCTTCCATGCGTTTAGCACAGCCCAGGGCTTCTCCTTCCTTAGTTCCCTTGGCAAACACCCCCCCAGTCCAGGCCCTCCCTCCCGGCTTCTCACTTGGAGTGTTGCCAGCCTTCCATGCTCTCCAACCTCTCATCTTTCCCCTCCCATAATAATCTACTAAAACACTGAGTGGGTAATTTCACATCCTACTCAAAAACCCTCCTTTCCTACAGGACGGAGTTCAGGCCGGCATTCAGGACTCTACCGCAGACCAGCTGCACTCCTATCGCCCCAACATCCCTCTATCTCCCAACACCCCCGTCCACCTCCCCTGTTTATGGCAGGAGGGAGGGGAGCTAACCCTCAGACTCCTGACTACACAGACGGATGACCTTGGGCAAGTCACTTCACTGCTCCAGGCCTCAGATTTCTCATATAAACTAAAAGATTTGGACTTCTCCCCAAGGTTTCTTTAAACTCCCTAAGATCTGTGTCGTATTTTCAGTGAATAGTCCTATGGGAATATATGGCCCATTTGAAGGAAAACAGGCTGACATGGAAATTAGTATATATTTGAACCAGATGTACACATTGCATCTTCAACTATTTATTCAACACATACTTTTTAAGGCCCACTCTATGCTGTGTTTTGTGTTAGTCTCTTTGGATACAAAATCTCCCCTCTGGATGGCTTCTTGTCTAGTTGGGGCAGAAAGATATAAAAAAAAATTCCACTAAAGGTTATGTGAGTGCCATGTATAGGGGACAGTAGCACAAAGAAAGAAAATACAGGAAAATTATTGAGTAAACAAAAATTGTGTTTTAGTAAATTAGGTAACAAGCTTCAAAACAAGTTAATGAAAAGTCTGTGAAACCTTCTGATTGGGAGAAGTGGGTAAATCAGGAGGGTGGATTACCCAGCTTTATGGGAAATCTGTCACGTTTTAGAGATCTGCCCGCTAGCTTGTCAAACTGTGTGGAAGGGGGTAGCTGTTCTGAAAAGAACGCAGTGAAAACTGAGGGGGAGCAGGAACTTTCACACACCACTTGTGGAAAATGCAGATTAGTGCAGCCACTCCGACAAGCTGGGCTTTTTAAAAAAACGTTAAACATTAATAAATTTACCACACAACCCAGCAATTCCATTCCTACGTATCTACCCAAGAGAAGTAAAAACTATGTTTACACAGGGATTGTGTGTGAGTGTTCATCAGTAGCATGATTTATAATAGCAAAAAAGTGGAAACAATCCCAATGTCCACTGGTGAATGGGTAAACAAAAGTGGTGAGTCCACACGATGGAATACTACTGGTCAATAAAAAGGAATAAAGTACTTATTAATACATGCTATAACATGATTGAACATTATGCTAGAGGAAAGAAGCCAGTCACAACAATCATATAGTGTATGAATCCACTCATATGAAATGTCCAGAGAAGACAAATCTATAGGGACAGAAAGTAGATTATTGGTAGCCTGGAGCTGGAGGTGAGAATGTGGAGTAACTTGCATAAAGAATAGCTTTGGGACAAAGGAAATGTTCTAAAACCAGATTGTGGTGAAGGTTACACAACTCTAGATTTACTACAAGTCATTGAATCCCTCTTAAAACAGGTGAATTTTATGCTATATAAATGATACAAATAAACAAACTGAGGGAAGATTGCTCTACAGGACAGGCAGGGGGAAGCTTTCCTCGTGGTCATTTGAAAAGAGTGAGCAGCTATGAGAGCTACTGGTGCCCCAAATTCAGCTGGTGACCAAATCTCTATCAACCTTCTAAGAAGTGTTTTTGAATCTTAAAGATTAGATTGAAATAAGAAGAATTCTATTCAAGACTCAAGAAATCCAGGATTAAAACAAGCAATTACTAAAAAAAAACCTGTTAAGAGTTAAGAGAGAATAAGATTAAATAGTGATTGGTAACAATAAGGAACTTAATTTTACCTATTTCTATTTCTTTTTCTTTTCTTTTTTTTTTTTTTTTGGTGAGAAAGATTGGCCCTGAGCTAACATCTGTCTCCAATCTTCCTCTTTTTGCTTGAGGAAGATTGGCCCTGAGGTAACATCTGTGCCAATCTTCCTCTATTTTGTACGTGGGACACCGCCACAGCATGGCTTGATGAGCGGTGTATAGGTCTGTGCCCAGGATCCAAACCTGCGAACCCCGGGCCACCAAAGCAGAGCTTGCAAACTTAACCACTACACCACCGGGCCAGCTGCCTATTTCTATTTCTTAATCTCCCAATTATATATTCATTTTCTATGCAGTGACCACTAATAGTAATCAATAGTTCTAATTAGCTACTTTTATTTTTTAAAAGCATAATGAAG